TTGCGAGTCCATTGACAAGGCTGTGTTACGCAACGAGTGGGAGAAATGGCTCCGTGCTCTGAAATTATACCTAGATGCAGAAGATATTAGTGACCCCGGTCGGAAGAAAAGCAAATTGTTACACCTTGGAGGACCACAACTGCAAGAAGTGGCCTTTAATATACCAGGAGCATTGGTAGAAGGTAACAATGAAGAAAACAAAAACGTATTTGAAATATTGGTCGACAAACTAACAGAGTACTTTTCACCACAACGCAATTCCACTTTTGAGCGACATCTATTTCGCAGCATGAAACCAATTCAGAACGAGGGACTAAGCAAATTTCTTGTACGTATCCGTCAACAAGCAGCCAAATGTACATTTGGGGAAACAGCTCAAGAAGCCATGGAGATCGGCTTAAAAGACAAATTAATTGATAACTGGGCATCAGCGGACTTAAAAAAGAGACTGCTGGAGAAGGAACACACTTTACCGGAAATTATTGATCTTTGCCGAATTCATGAAGAAATCACAAGTCAATCTGAGATAATGCAGTCTAGAACAAATACTGAAGCAGAAACCTCCTCCAGCCAAATCAACAGAATCACAAGTCGCCATGGAAGTAATAAGTACATGAATAGTGAATGCATTCGTTGTGGGCGAAAGGACCATCATGCGTCCGATAACAAATGCCCAGCACAGAAGGTCACATGTCACACATGCGGCGCCGTAGGACATTTTGCTGCAAGATGCCGAACGAGACCCGAAAATCGGCATTTTAGAAGTGCAAATCAGACACAAACAGGCCCACAGGCAAAAAGGAGGAGGATGAGATCTACTGTAAACCACATTAGTACCAATGCGAGAGCCGAAGAAAATTTAGACGCAAACGACAGTATATCGGAGTTTGACTGCTTTCAAATCACTGCAAAACGTGTTCGAAATAGCCAATACAGCCAGCAAGGGGGTGAAGACGACGATAGCGAATTAATTGAGTGTGTTATTGGAGGGATTGCTATACTTATGCTTATAGATTCGGGATCGATGGCTAATGTGCTCAGCGGCGCTGACTGGGACATACTACAACAACAACGGGCAGCAATATGGAATGTTAACCCAGATAACGGAAATAGACTAACTCCCTATGGGTCTAAAGAACCGTTAAATCCTAAATGCCACTTTACAGCTGGCATCAGTGTCAAGACAGGACAAGAAGTAATTGCACCATTCTACGTCATAGAAAAGGGTAACATATCTCTATTGGGAAAAACTACGGCGATGCGATTGGGTGTATTAAAACTAGGAATTAATGCACTACAAAAAGATATTAAACCATTCCCGAAAATAAAAGGCGTGCAAGTCCAACTTACAATTGACCGATCGGTTAGACCAGTACGCCAGCCAGTGAGACGAATACCTATCTCAGTTGAAAAAGCCGTCGAGGATAAATTAAACGAGGCCCTTCAAAAAGACATCATTGAACGTGTGGAAAAGCCAAGTTCATGGATATCTCCAATTGTGGTCATTTTTAAACCAACTGGTGGCATTCGCATATGCGTTGATATGCGTAGAGCGAACGAAGCTATTAAGAGGGAGAACTACCCCCTTCCCACGTTCGACTCGTTTATGACGAAGTTAAGAAACGCAAAGTATTTTTCACGACTGGATATGGAAAATGCATATCATCAATTGGAACTGAATCAGAGCTGTAGGGACATTACTACTTTTATTACACACAAAGGTAGATTCCGTTACAAACGGCTGATGTTCGGTGTCAATTCCGCACCAGAAATCTTTCAGCGTATTTTCGAAGAACTACTAGCGGAGTGTGATAACTGCCTCAATTATCTTGATGATATTATAGTATTTGGGTCCTCGGAAGAAGAACACGACAAATGTTTAAAAAAAGTAAGATACGTACTACAGGAGAACAACGTGCAACTAAACAAGGACAAATGTCTGATCAAAACTAAAGAAATACAGTTTTTGGGCCATACACTAACTACCAGTGGCATCAAGGCTGATGAAGCAAAAATAACTACAGTACAGGAGTTTCGAGCACCTACCACGAAAGAAGAAACGCGTAGTTTTTTAGGCTTGGTGACATATGTAGGAAAATTTATACCTGATTTGGGAACATTAACAGAACCACTTCGACGTTTGACTCGTAAGGAAACACCATTCAAATGGACACAGGAACAACAATACAGTTTTGACCAGTTAAAGAAAGCAGTGACCAAACCTCCAACCTTGGCTTATTTCGACCCATCGAAAAAAACGAGAGTCGTGGCAGACGCTAGTCCGGTTGCATTGGGGGCCGTTCTCATACAATTCCACGCAGAAAATACCCCCAGAGTCATTTCATTCGCCAGCAAAAGCCTATCTGCAGTTGAACGAAGATACTCACAAACTGAAAAGGAAAGTCTGGCGTTGGTTTGGGCAGTGGAGCGTTTTTATTATTATTTAGCAGGACTTGAATTTGAATTAATCACAGATCATAAACCACTAGAGGCAATTTTCAATCCAACATCAAAACCCCCAGCACGAATTGAAAGATGGCTGTTACGCCTTCAAGCATTCAAATTCAGGACGAAATATGAATCAGGAAAATCCAACATCGCTGATGCAGTATCTCGATTGTGCCGCCTAACCAACTCCAACTCGTATGACGAGGGTGATGAAATCCACATAAATACAGTCATGGAGAAAGCTGTTCCAAAAGCAATAAGCGTATCGGAAATAATTAAGGCAAGCCAAGAAGACGCGACTCTAACTGCGACTGTCGAAAAAGTAAACATCGACTCATGGGAAAACTCAGATAATTCTCCATATTTTCCGTTCCGAAACGAGCTTACGTTATTAGGACCGGTTTTACTTCGAGGAAATAAAATTGTTATACCAGAGTCGTTGCGTGAACGGACACTGAAACTAGCGCATGAAGGCCATCCAGGGCAAACGGTTATGAAAAGAAGACTCCGAGCTAAAGTGTGGTGGCCATCAATAGACCGACAAGCTGAAGACATTGTGAAAAATTGTCGTGACTGCTTGAGAGTATCGCTGCCCCCAAAACCGGCCCATATGAAACGCCAAGAGTTTCCAACAGCACCATGGCAGTTTCTCGCAACAGATCTCATGGGACCACTTCCAAACCATGAGCAGGTGCTAGTAATCATCGATTACTATTCACGTTATCAAGACGTCAAATTTTTACGGTCGACCACTGCTTCTGTAATTATCACTCACATGAAAGAGCTGTTTGCCAAGTTCGGAATCCCAACATCACTCAAAGCTGACAATGGACCACAATTTGCTTGTGAAGAATTCCAAAAATTCTGCAAAGAATACAACATCCGGCTTATCCATTCAGCCCCGTATTGGCCTCAAGCAAATGGAGAAGTGGAAAATGCAAACCGAGCACTACTCAAACGACTCCAGATATGTCATGCAAATGGAAATAGAAACTACAAAATGGAAATACTTGACTATATTTTGATGTATAATACTACCCCCCATGGAACAACGGGAAAATCACCCTCAGAGCTTTTGTTCGGAAGGAATATCCGTGACAAGATACCTTCGCTTGCCGACTTTATTATGGAACAAGGAGACGAAGAAGCCCGAGACTTGGATATAATTAATAAGCTTAAAGGAAAAATAAGGGAAGATACAGTGCGAGGGGCGCGCGATACTGACATCAGCCTGGGAGATAAAGTATTAGTGAAAAACACGGTAAAGCCTCACAAACTAACACCTGCGTTTAGTGATATAGAGTACACCGTGGTTAAACAATCGGGAAATGAATTACTCTTACAGGATGGAGGCCGACAAATCCGCCGGAATATTGGACATGTAAAGAAACTCCCTAAACCTACAGATGAACCTCTTGCAGACTGCATTACAGATACGGATAGGACACAAACAACGCCTTCTCCTAAGGCCGTAGCTGAGGCACTTGAACCTCAACCACTTCAAGGTCCTTCACAAATAATTCCAACGATAAAACCACTCCGTCTAAAAAGAAAAGAAGGGATGTGGCGACCTGCATCTGCAGATGACGAATAGTTGCCGCTGATAATCATTTTGAATGTTATATAATCGTTTTGTTTTGTTATGTTTTAAGTTACTTGATTTGTCATATCAATAGTTAGTTATGTTTTGGATGTTAATGGTGCAGGTTGTATCCGTCTAATAGCTATCAATAAAAGCGATATTATTATTACAGTTTATTTGTGTATTATTTACAACGGTAAGAAACCCGGGGTAGCACAAGAAGAAATAGTATAATACGAAAATAAAAAATAAAGGGCCCATTTAATAGCTTTTCTAGTAAATAAAACAATACGTCGGCTATAGTGTATGGATTGAAATACATAATAACAGGCATAAAAAGTGGAATCGTAAACTCAATTAATGTAGTTTTTTATTAGCACGTTATTGCCTTTGTTTTATTACGGATAACGGTCCCGACTAATACCAACCTAAAAGCGCTAATTTCTACCTATAGTATTATAATTATGCATAAATAAAGAAATCCTTTCACTCGTAAAAGGCTATTATAGCAAGTCGTTGTTGTAACACTAAAAATATTATTTTTGAATTTGTATTTTAGATTTAAACTTAATTTTAATGAATTGTTTGCCAAACGATTGATTTACTGTAATTAATTATTTAATATTTTTTGCTCTACTTATTTTAATAATGAAATACCATTGCAGCGAAAGTTATAACATTACCTTAAAAATTAATTGGTTACAATTAAGTGAATAATTGTTAACAAGGGCCAATTTTTTCTAAATCTTGTTTCTTGAAGTAGCAAAGGCAAGGTCAAAATTATCGCAATCAAATGCAAAAATTTGTGTTTTATTTATTCAAAAGCCTAATTAACTATTATTTTATAAAATTTATTTTTAATGAGGGCTCATTAACATGGCAAACCATTTTTTACGTGTCATTAGAGAATTTATAAAAGTAGTTTTAAATGTATTGCAATACATATATATTAACTAATAAATGGACTTACCGGTATGTGATCCGTTCTCCTTGTCCAAAAAGTCCTCACAGTTGTCCTCACTGACATCGACAAGGCTTCGAATGCTGAACACAGACTTGGCAACGCGCATTTTGCAGGCCTGTTCCTGCGAGGCAATGGCAACGTCGCCTCGTTGCCTGGTCGTAAGGTCCATCTCCAGGCTACTTTCCATAAGTCCTTTTTCAACTGTTTCTAACAACTGCTTTGGTCACTACAAAATATGTACAATTGTTAACTATGAATTTAAATAATTTGTCTGTCTACAGTGCATTTTTTGTTTATTTACAGGCAATTTTGACAATGCATTGAAATAAATTTTGGCACGATAAGATAAGCATAATTAGGTAAATTAAAATTTAAAATTTCTTTCTTTTTAAAAAACAATGATAATAACCTTATTAGTCAAATTGTTTAACCTTCCTATTTTTTTTAGAACATGTTGGTGTAGGTCACTTTTTGCATGAATATTTATTTATACCAAAAATTACTAAAAGGAATCTAATTTGAGAAAAAGTTATTAAGCTAATTAACATTTTATATTTCTTACAATGCTTTCTAAACATATTGGTTTTATTTTAAGTGTCATTTGGTAGATAATAACTAATTCATTAAATTAAATTCTTCACTGATTTTTTAAACTTTAGAACTTTTAGAAATCTGTTGGATATAAATTATAATTTAATAAAGGAAATTACAAATTAAAAATATGAATTAAACGTATCAAAAATAAAGAAAATGATTTTATTACCTTTAAGTAAAATAAATTTAATTGTATCCTGTATACATGTATACATATTTAGTATTTTATTAGCGTAATTAAATAATCGTTTATTGCTCAGTAAATGCAGCATTTAAATAACCAACGAAATATTTTTGCAATCTTACATTACACTACACGATTCATTACAACTCAATTTGGAAAAATTACAAAACGTTTGTTGAAATTCACTAAGCATTTATTAAAAATTTGCTCAGTGACATTATTGTAATTTTGCTAAACAAAATACTAAATATGTTTACTAATTTTAAAATGGGGTATTGTAATTATACTATGCAATTCATTTTAACTCAGTTTAAGAAAATTACAAAATATATTTTACAATTTTACTGAACTAAAGAAAATGCGTTTCGCAATATTATCTACAATACAAATATTGTTATTTTGTACAACAAATTAGACTAAAAATATTTAGTAATTTACGAATGGTGGTATTGTTATTATACTACGAAAAAAAAACAGCAATTTTCTTAGTTTCTTCAAGAAACTTTCTTGACCCATTACTGTAAAGATTAAAAAAATTGAAGTAGATTTCCCAACATGTCTTGAAATTGTATTATAATTTTGTTTTGGTATACACTGATTTGCAATTTTACTACGCAACTGCTTAGTAGAAATGTAGTAATTTTACAAAAATTTTTAACAATTCATAGGTATAAAGATAACAAACCAAAAAATGTTTTTTTCTGTTGACCAGTGTTATCAATTAGAGACATTAAAATAAAACTAATTAAATGTAATTATGTAGAGATAACGTGTAAATTAGGCCTTATCTGAAGTTACTTGCTTGAATTGCAAAATTTATACAATCTACTTATTTACTTAGCTGTTTTTAATTAGCTTTGCTTAAGTTATACACGCCGTTTTTTTCGGGAATGTTTAAACAATTAACCACGATTTTCAGGGTTAAATTCAAATTTATTTTTCACGGGTTTTAACAATTATTATTTGCGGTCTACCGTTATAGCAGATAAGCCGTGGAGGGTACATAAATAAAATATTAAATTTTACTAATCAAAACAAAAACTATAAAAGATCATACGACAGTTTTAAATAATTTAACTGCCATCCACCACATCTTTAGTCATTTGATATAAAACCACAAATTAGAGCGCAAGCTCCATTTTACCATTTTTTTATTAAAAAAGAAACATGTGAAGATTTTTAATTAAAATTAAAGTTTTCCCTAATATTTATGTTCCTTCTGTCCAGTTTTAAGTACCTTATTTGTCATAAAATATAGGTACACTTCAGTGTAAGTTGGTAACTTAATATAATAACGAATAATACAGCTATACAGCCATGCCTACTGGTATGTTTAGTAGCTATAGCTACTAGGTACAGTTATAATAATTAAATGGCAATTACTTATTTAATATAAACAACTTAAACGGTGAATTAGAAGTGTCGTCTGAACATTGTATGCAAGTACTTATAACTTACTTATTTATAGAAATAAACGTTCCTACATAGGTATATTTTATGTCGGGAATATTTATCATTTCAAGTCGTTTTAATCGTATTACCAAGAGGAGCCTATTTGCATGTAAATTTGCTCTTTGCGGTATTTATTTATGAATAAATGAATTAAAGGAAGTATCTATAATTAAATTAGTAATTATTTTCTTTCGGAACAGTTACAATTAGGTATGTGTTTCTTTCTAGTTGTGCATGATTTATTAATTTAATTATTCAAATCCTGTTGGCAAATTAAACGATTTCTCATCCATGAGAAATTTGTTTAATATTTTATGATTTAATAATTAAAAATGTTGTTGCTGTTATCCTTCTCAGACACTGGCCAAGGTGTTAAAATAAATAAATTTGCTTATCACTGTTAAAAAAACATAATTACATTATTTACTTGGTTTTCGCAAATAAAATGTATCGTCTGCGAATAATTAATGAAATAATCTTTGCATAAATCACATTTGCATAAATAAATTATTTCTTAACTTAATATTTTACAATAATGGCCTAAAAAGTTGTTTTTAAGTATTATACTCCTTAATTATTATTAATAATATTGACGTTGATAATTTTAATGCCATTCTTATTAATTATTGCAAAAATAACTGCTGACAATTTTTTTTTATCATTATGCCTATTTTAGTAGCTGACGACTTTTTTAGAGCAATATTTGAAAAGAGTTTTATATGTATACATAGTGCAAGAAATGATTATATTATATTATATTATATTATATTATATTATATTATATTATATTATATTATATTATATTATATTATATTATATTATATTATATTATATTATATTATATTATATTATATTATATTATATTATATTATATTATATTATATTATATTATATTATATTATATTATATTATATTATATTATATTATATTATATTATACAGGGTGTTTCTTTATGAGGCGCCGTTTGTGCCATAATTATAAATAAAAAAATATGTTAATATAAAACAATATTTTAAAAATATATAAATGTAAATCAAAAATTTTAAAATATAATAATATAATAATATGCGTAAATATATTTTATGAATAAAATTTATCACACAAAGTTATTTATATTTGCTTAACCGTTATCATTTGTATTTTTAGCAGATTATCCATATATTTATAGTTTATATATATATATATTTACAGTTTATCCATATATTTATAGTTTATATATATATATTTTTAGCATGTGCCATAATATACAGTTGGTTGCATACGCAGCGGGCGCTTACTAATGAAGTTGGGGTCTTTTCACATTACGAGTGGCAGCACTGGAAGGACATTTCAACTGTCAAAGTTGTTCATGTTTAAACAAAAGTGATTTTATGCACGATGACATTATAATATGACAATTACCTATAACAAAAATTCTTTGACGTAAACGTCTTTTTATAGCCCGCGGGCGTTATTATGACCCAGCGGGCTATAATGAAACGTCAAAAATTAAAAACAACAATGTTACACCATTTGATATACCTATTCGAAGTAAGTTTTTTCGTATAAAGATTTTGATTTTTCCGGCAGCAGGCCGCAATTTTTCGCCTTTTCAGCTGCTTCCTCAATTTCATTCATCTTTAAACTTTAAAACTGAATGATATCAGTTGACATTATAATATGACAATTATAACAAAAATTCTTTGACGTAAACGTCTTTAAAAACAATAATATATTAAAAATAATAATATATTAATCGTGCATAAAGTTTTGTATGCATTGCTGGCATAACTGGTTTTTATGGTCCTACGACGCTTTTCTAGCCCTCGCGCTAACGCGCTCGGGCTCGAAATAGCGCCTCGAACCATGAAAACCTTATTATGCCCTTAATACATACATAAATAACTATTAAAACACTGTTTTGCGTCATTTTGCGTTTTCGTGAGGTTGTTTTTTTATTAGGTTTATAATATAAACTTTATACCATAAATTTTATAATACAAAAGGTGCGGTCGTTGTAATATAGTTGTTATATTACTTTAATTAATACACTGTACACGTTAAACATAGTTTATTAAACAACAATATTAGAGAACATGTTGACATCTGTCTGACAAGTATTTGTTAAATCATGGCTATTATGACACCTCCCCTTTTACAAAACTAACTAAATGTTTAATACATAACAAAATCCCTAAACCTATGGGGTATTTTTATGTCTCTCTTATTACTAACTCTATCTGACACATTTGAACTAGTATTAAGTCGTTGAGTTATAAATCTGATTTTGGGAATTACAAATTAAGAATATGGAGGTTCAACAATATTTTGCACAATTAGTTGATGATGTAGGCCAAATGGAAGACCTAATAATGCAGAATAATATTGATATTCGACTTCTCGAAGAAGGTGCTGTTAAATTGGAGAATCACTGCTAAACTTTTGCTGTCTTTATGGGTATTTATCAAGCTATTGATGCTGGAATTCTTCATAATTTAAACAAAGCTTATGGAATAATTTGGAATTTATATTATACTGTTGACTGAACGTTTTATCCAAAGAACACCTTTGCCTTATATCTATGAATTGAACCAATGTATGTAACACGCCACAAACATACAGGTATCACGAGAACGCAAAAGTTTTGCGGCAAAACACAACACAAAACGCTTTTGTTGCACTTTTGTTTTAAAAATGTGACAGACTGTCACTGACAGTTGAACTCACAATCCACACAACAAGGTCTGTTCTTTAGCTTAAAAATTTAAACCAAAATCGGTGCAGTTGTGCGCACCTACGTCATCAAACACTTGCCGCCATCTTGTCGCGGGTAATTTAAAATACTTAAAATAGAAGTTTGATACGGCCGTTATCGTAGGTTTAATTCCCCGAAATTATAGTTATTAGGTATATTAATATTATATTATTATTATATTATAGTTTGTTTGTTCATAGGTTCTATGGTTTGTTATAAAAAT